GGGTCTGACGTACTGAGTAAGTTCGTAAGCTCGCCTCCAGCCTCGCTGGGGAAGTCTTCGGTCGCAACACCCACGGAGGAGTTGCTGGTCGGGCAGAGGGCTACAGCTGGAATGAAAACAGATGAACGACCGCCAGGATCCGACCAGATGAGAGCCGCTAAACCTCAATCAGGGTCGATCTCGGAGTTCGCTGCGCTCAGCGCCGCGGAGGAGGAACCACTGGGTGGGAAGCCGCTGGAAAAAGTAGCGGGGCAGGGTCCGAGCATTGGGGAATCGTCCCGGCCGCCACCGCTGACCCCCGTGAATGGATTGATGAAGTCGGGAGCCGAGAGCAAGCGGAAACTCCCAAAACGGCCCTTGGGAGCACCGCCGCTCGGAGCATCCGAAGCGGGAGCATCGAAAAAATTCCAGGAGAAACCTGTAGATGCTATCAAACCAGCAGTCCGACCGCCAACTGATGGACAACGGCGCGGCAATGAATTGCCCGGAATGGACGGATCGCTTCAGAAGTCTGATGCCAGAGATGTCTATCCAGACGCAAAGGACGATAAGTCGCTCCTGAAAAGAAGTGAGCGCGAGACAGATATTCAAGTGATCTACTTCTCAATGAGATTGGGGTAATTGAATACTTTCTCAGGAACTCTCCTCGGGAAATTCTCTAAGATTTTGCCCTCTTTGTTTCAGTCCAGGGCTTTTTCGCTACGAGGGATGGAGCCAAACGCGGATCTTGAGACTCCTCCCGCGAGAGATCTCGAGTATATTTCGAGTCCGATCCGAGACACCAGTGCAGAATAAACTCACAAGGTCCATTAATCGTCACGTACTCGTCAACTTCATATTCAAACTTCAATTTGTTTTCAAAGAATTCATCTCCATGCGATCTGCCGGTTCGTTCACGAGAGCCAAGAAGAGTGAAGTAGCTCATGCACCACATCGCATGCCAGCGAGAGTGGTCTGATATAAGGCGTTCGCTCGAGCCCTCGCCATTTAAGATTCCCTGAGTGAGAGAGTTCGCCAACCAAAGCGAGGACCTCGCATGGCGTGAACGCTGCGAGGTCTTACTCCCGGCGACATAAGGAGAAGGGGCGAAGATCAGGCGACAAGCTTCGTCGGAAGTGCATTGGCACGAGATCATTCTCCCTCGGTGAACTCGTGAATGTTCCTCTCGAGATGCTGTTTCAAATCTGGGATGTTCGAGGGCTCGAAATTACACTTGTGGCATCTCAGCTCTGTCGACAATAAATCCATCGCTTGCTCCCTGTTCAGAAGGGTGAATTTCCCATTCTTAGCAATATCGTCGATAAATTTAAAGCTTTCGACGAAGAAGTCCGTCGTGAAACTATTCCAATGTCGCTGAGTTTCGAGCCGCGGGGACACGAAATCTTGAGAGATGACGTGGAGGTGGAGTTGGATCATCGAAGGTATGGCGTGGTATCCAAGTCGGAAATCTCCCTTGTCGAGGCCTCTCTTCTCTATGATGCTGTAACCGACCGATTCGAGGTGGCGGAGCAAACCGACGTGCGCCGCCGTCAAGTCATGGAGGCCAGGAATATCTTCCCGAGGAAGTACCAGAAAGTGATGGCGAGCTTTTGGGTATTTGTCCAATATGGCCACACAAAGATCATCGACATGAACTTGGACTTCCTCATCCTTCATGGCCTCCCGGAGACCTTTGTGAGGCCGCTTGGCCTTTGCTGGCGATGCGACCTCGCCTTGGTATTCTTGTGATGCCATCGATCGCTTCATGTGGCCGCTCATGAAGTGGGATAGTCCCAAGGAGCGCGAGCAATGGTGAAGTCTGTAACGATGGAATGGTCTTCAGCGAGAATGACATCGACGTCACGTCGTTTAGTCAGCATACTTCGGTGTAATAGGAAAGACTCGATGAATCCCTCACCGAAATGTTTGTCGGAGCAAGGAATGAAAGTCAGCTCTTCGAGAGCGAGCGAATGTACCGCTTGCCATGGACTGCTGTCGACGGCTCAGTAGAGTATTGGGAATCAGCAGCACAATCGCTCTATGCTCTAATCTCTAATCAGTCCAAAACTAAAAGTCAAAGAGACAGCGAATGTAGGTAGTTGAATTCAACTCCGAGGAGAAGCAGAGGTTTCCACCAAAGACCCGAAGAACAAATGATGGGGATGATCCATGCGCGATCAGTCATGCTCTCCATAGCAAGACACGGCCAGGCAGATGGAAATTTCATCCGGAGCCATTTAGGCTGTCTTCGAAGGACACGCGGTGTTCGACGCGGCAGACGTAGGAGCGGAGTTCGGGGACTTCAGAAGCGGCTCCCGCACGGGAGGCTCAACATTTCGAGTGCTTCGAGCCCGATTCGGATCTCCCAGATGAGGTCACGGGCTGACGCACGCCATGCCGTTGCCAATCGTCAGCTGGCAGAGTTCTCTGGGCTGACTTGAATAGCAGTAGAGATTCAATCAAGCTGAAGGGAGCCGTCTTCCTCGGAATATCCGTCGCCGCACTTCCTCTCCCTCGCTATATCCTGTACGGGGGGAATCACGCAGTAGACAAGAGCAACACTGTCGTCGCCGGGCCTGGGGCGCGCTGACGGCGCTGACTCTTCAATGTCAGACACGCGCGGAAAGACGTGTTGTCTGGGATTTACCATGACGAAGCTCGGGTGAGCGCTCTTCTCGACTCGCGCGTCGGTTGGCGCGACCCGTCGGGCCGGTTTCACGACTCCAACCGAAAGATGAATTCTCGTATTATCGAGTTTCCAATCTAGGTACATATATCTTCGGAAATGTTAGGCTTGGTGGAAGAGGGATGGATCCAACCCTTGATTCTCCCCCTGATTTCGGATCATGCGATGAGGAGACATATTCTTGTCTTGGAGAATGTCGCAAGGGAAGCGGAATTCCTGTCAGTCTCGGTTGAGCACTGTCCGCAGCGGAGACTGACGACTTTTGCCGAGGGCAGTTCTAGGACGTCCCTCCCGCCAAAACACGTCTCGGTCGCTGCTTCCGAATTCGAATCGAGGCAGTGTCACGAAACGCCATGATAAGTGATCAGCGCTCAAGGAAGATCTACGTTCTCGGCCTTGGACGCCGAGAACGAGCCCGCTGGCGATAAGCACGGATATCGCCAGGATCACTCGGAGCACCGTGATCAGGAACGGGTCCGCTATCCAGGATTGTGTTTGTACGTAAATATCTCCCCCACTGAACTACCGAATGCTCAGTTGTCCCGATGAGCGTCGTCGTATCGAGACCGTTCTGTATCTATGTATTTTTGCTCGACTCAACGAGAATCGATTAAACGACTTAAAAAACACGTTTCGCCGCGGGACCGTTTCGCCCCGCGGACCGCTCCGCCGCGTGTGAGCAGCGGAAGTGTCTGGCGGCTGGCATCTTGGAATAGGGCATCTAGGACAATATCCGAGTGTTTCGATGCGGGGGGGGGGGGGCGTAAGAGAGATAGAAATGCAGTGGTAGAGGAAGTCAAGGAGGAAGATTGAATTTACCAATCGCTTCCGGTACCCCCGATATTGGTACGTGCGCAAAGTAGGACCTGAGCGCAAGTGAATCTATGAACTTGAGCTGCGAAAAGACGAAGAATCAGGTCAGATTGGGAGGGATAACTTCGCCGCGCGACTCGAAATCGATTGTCGACCGCACGTATCCTGGCCGATATGCATAAAATAGCACAGGACCGTCGTTTTGTTCGGCTCTACGCGCATCTACCGCAAGTGGACGTCTTGCGCGAACGTTCAAATGTCGCCGCTCTCCCAGTTCTCAAGTGAGGAAGTTCCCCCCCCCCTTGAGCTTCGACGGTTCTCTTGATCTCTGAATCGTTCCCTCGAACTAGTGGACTCACCAGTTTTCGTCAGTCATATTGGTCTGGAATACGTCGCCATTTGACTCATCGAGTGAGAGGAAACACTGAATATTTCATAACTGCTCCCTGATCGACCACTGTACTGCGGTAGATCACCCCCGCATCGTCGTTGGTGAACTGGATTTGCCACAAATCGACTGGTCCTCACACAACACTTCGGATACTGATTCCATGGAGAATATCTTTCTCCGCTGCTCTATACGCTGTAACCTCATTCGATTGGGCCACGTACAGGCTTTCGCGGAACGTTCCGCTGCTGTATTCGACCCTCCGCGGATGGATTCGTAAATACCAATACCAGGCAACGGGTCCGTGCCCGGGAGCTACCGTCATATTGCGCAGGGATCAATTGTGTTCATGGTCCCTGTGCACGGAAGAAGATCCGCGCTGCGCAACTCTCCCACCATCTTGTAGCGAACGGTCTCTTTAACCCAAACCAGCACAGCTTCGTCAGCGGCCGCTCCACGTGCCCGCAACTACTGATCATGACCGACGTGGGGAGAGCTATCCCAACTCGAAGACACCCTCCCATGCCGTGTTTTTCGACAAAGGAGCTGCCTCCGACAAAAGATGTTCATGCCCTTCTTTTGCGGGAACTCTCCGTTCTAGAGGACCACCCTGCTACGCTAAACCTCATCAAATCATATCTGGGGAGCTGGGGTCTCGAGGTCTAAATCGACGATGCTCTGAGTTATCCTACTACCTCTGGCGTCCCACAGGGAAGCTCCCTTCCCACCATCCTATGTTAGATGTTCGTTCTCGATATCGGTAATGAAGTACCTGACGGTGTCAAAGATCTCTCATAAGCTGATGACATCAAATTCTACTAGGCGTTGCCTAGCACCGATGCATGCCTGCGCCTAAAATTGGCCACATACATATTTTCGCTATGGGGCGCGAGAAACCTAATGCAGCTTCCGCCGGAAGAGACCATCGTGCTTGAAAATGGCCACCCTGGACATCTCGAAGGGCAGATACTGCCAACAGGCGTCATGACCCGTGATCTAGGAGATCCGATGTCCTCTAGCCTCGACTTCCGCGCCCGCACATTCAAGGCCGTCTATTCCTGTTCTGTATTCATGCACACGCTCTTACGGAGTTTCATCGTCAAGAACCCCGAGTTCTATATACGCCCCTATGAGTCCCTGGAAGCTCCTCTACTGTTCCGCAGTTTGATGCTCCTCGCTTAACCCCCTCTGGAAATTTTGTTGCGAAGGCTCAGAAATGTTCTCTCAGACGTCTTGACCAGAGATCCGGGTCCGGTGCCATAGCCGATGCGATCATCCCCCAGCTCATTGACGAAGGAATTGACCATGGTAATGAACTCCCTGCTCTCCTCCAACTGCATAGAGCAGAGCGGCTCGAGGAATCGTTCACCATACGAAGGAACGAACGGCGTCGGCGCTGTACCATAGTTCCCCACGCGATCGCCCGCACGAACAGGATAAACTCTCTCTTCGCTTGGCGAGTCTCGCCGAGGGCGCAATTGTCCCCTTGAGGCAGGAGAATTCTTCTACCCCCTTCCCCTTTTTTCCAACAAAGGTGCTATTCTTTCATTGGATCCAGCCGACTGTTCTGCGTCAAAACGGTCTGCGGCAGAATGGACCTGCAGCGGAGCGGTTATTCACCGAATCGATCGCGATGAGATGGGACGCTCCGAGATCAAAGCTCATTGAGCCCGGGCGGAAATTCGGCCGGGAAGATTGCCGGCAACTCGGAGTCATGCTAGCTTTGGCCTACTCTCCCACAACTTTCAATAATTCGGGATCACAAATTTAATCTTTTCGGATCAGGGTCCTCGACGGTTCCCTCAAGAGTTCTGCAGCGAGCGCAAGCTCGAGCGAGTCGGTCCAATGAACTTTCTTAGCGAGGGAAGAACACCGACACAAGCAGTGATGAATCAGCACGCATCGGGAGTGCTCGATGAGCTGATGAGCGATAATATCCACCACATCCAAGGTTACGCCGAAGTAATCGAGAGCTTACTCTCGGTATATATCCAAACGATAGTCACTTGGATTTTCGCGGACCTCTCAATTCGTCGAGACTCGAGCCGTGCGAGGCGTCCCCGAAAGATTGTCCTGCCCGGTCTCACGATAGGTCTGAGCAATCGACTCACCTCGGGTTGGAGGCGCGAACTTCGGGGACTTTTCTCTAACTCTAGCAGTCCCCGCACCCACCCTCAGTTTTCACATAGGCGATGTCGACTGCACGCAGTATTGGGACCGCGGTGGCACGTTGCGCCATGCGATGATCCTCGGTGATACACGTCAGTTCAGTCCGGCGCGTCGCAGCCACGAGCTCGTGACACTTCCCTCAAGCTGAGGTGCTGCTATCGCCGGCATCTGTCGTGAGGACGTCGGCTTGCGGTCGAATCATTCGCGCACTTCTGTATCATTGAGCTCCGACGCCCGACGATCATTCAAGTGCGAAAAAGCAACAATATAAAGCAGACAGCCCACTGAGCATCGGCTGTTCGATTCGTCGAAAATCTGACGCCCGAACTAATACTAATAAGATAGTGCTCCACTCTTCCAAGCACTCGAATTGAACTTGCTCGATTCGGTTCCGGGCCGCCGACGTCAATGAATTACGGTCGGCGGGCCGCTCATCGTTTCAAGGGTGTCGCATCGAGGCGAAACTCGGAGGCATATCCGTGCAGACAAGCGTTGCTCCGATAAACTCGTGTGGAAACCTCAACGAGGCGACTTTAGTCGGAGCGGATGATAGGCTCGATTTTCCAAGCGTTCAGTAGATCCTCACGCTCGGGAAAATCCGAACTCGAGATCAATCACCCGCTCCAGAGTGACGAGAAAGCCCAACCATGATACCGATTGTGAGGGGAACTTTCGCATCTCTGAAGATGCATTTGGACGAAGCCGATAGGCGAGCGACGACTTCATTCTGGACACCTGTTGACTCCGTATTCATTTTCCATGTGACC